CAGAGCACTGTCCAGGTGTGTAGGGATGGAATCAGAAAAGCTAAAGTACATCTGTAACTGAATATGGAAAGGGATGTGAGGAATAACGAAGGCTACTGTAGGTACACTGATCAGAACAGGAGGACTAAATAAAATGCCCCCCACCAAAAAAGACAGGAAATTTAGTGACTACTGGCACAGAGAGGACTGAGACACCCAACAAATTTGCTGTCTCTGTTTTCACTGGCAGTCTCTCTTTCCCATCTCCTAAGTCTATGAAACTCAAGGCATGGACAAGGGGAACAAAGTCCCTCCCCTGCTGTAAGAGAAGATCAGGTTCAAGACTGCCTGAGGAACCTGAATATACATAAACCCATGGCACCCAAGGGGATTCATCCCAGGGCCTTCAGGACATTAGCAGGTATAGTTGCAATATAGAGAGTGTTTAATATTTTCATCAATAGCCCATAGTGGGATTGAGTGCACCCTCATCAAGTTTGTGACACCGTGCTCAGTGGTGCCATCGATTCACTGGAGGGAAGGGATACCATGCTGAGGGAGCTTGACAGGCTTGATGAGTGGACCCATGTGAACCTCATGAAGCCCAGCAATGTCAAAAGCATGGCCCTGCACCCAGGTCAGGGCCATTCCAAATGTCAGTACAGACTGCAGGATGAGCTGATTGCAAGCAGCCCTGCATAGAAAGACTCAGAGATATGGGTAGATCAAAATTTGGACATGAGGTGGCAATGTGCACTTGCTGCTCAGAAAGCCAGTTGTATCCTGGGCTGCATTAAAAAAAAAAAAAAAAAAAAAAAAAAAAAAAAAAAAAAAAAAAAAAAAAAAGCAAAGCTAGCAGGTTTAGGGAGGTGATTCTCTTCATTCACTCTACTCTAATGAGACCTCACCTGGAGTACTGCACCTACCTCTGGGGTCCCCAGTACAAGAAAGACTTGGAGGAGAACCACAGGAGAGTCATGAAACTGATGAGGGAGCTAGAACACTTCTTCCATGAAGAAAGTCTGGGAGAGTAGTGTTTTTTAGGCCTGGAGAAGACAAGGCTCTGGGCAGACCTCAGTGTGGCCTTTGACATATGAAGAATACTTTTAAGAAAGACAGAGAAAGTCTTTTTACCAGGGCCTGTAGTGGCTAGGCAAGGGGAAAGGTTTTAAAAGTGAGAGAAGTTAGATTTAAATAGGCTCTAAGGAAGAAAATTTTCATTATGAAGGTGGTGTGACACACTGGAACAAGTTGCCAAGAGAAGTTGTTGATGCCTTCAATGGAAGATTCCAAAGTCACCTGGGATAAGCCTTTGATCAACCTGATCCAGTGAAAGATGTCTTTGCCCATGACAATGATGTTGGTCTAGACAATCTTTGAAGGACCCTTCCAACACGAATCATGCTATGATTCTGTAGTGCATCAAGTCACATGGGCTTATAGGAAGGACCTTCCTGAAAGCACTTATCCCTACCAGAATAGGAGAAAAGGGAGTTATTGAATTCCTGACTGAACTTTGGAAAATTTTCGTAGAATTATAGCATCGTAAAATATGCTGGGTTGGAAGGGACCCATCAGCACCATCGAGTTCAAATGCTGGCCATGTGCAGGACACCTCAAGAGTCACCCCATGTGCCTGAATGTGTTATCCAAATGCTTCTTGAACTCTGTCAGGCTGGTGCTGTGACCATTCCCTGGGGAGCCTCTTCCAGAGCCCAGCCACCCTCTGGGTGAAGAACTTTGTCCTGATATCCAGCTTAAACCTTCCCTGACTCAGCTTCATGATATTTCCTTGAGTCCTGTCACTAGTCATAGAAGTTAAAGAGATCAGTGTCTGCCTCTCCTCTTCCTCTCATGAGGAAGCTTCAGACTGTGATGAGTTCTCCCCTCAGTCTCCTCCAGGCTGAACAGATCAAATGACCTCATCTGCTCCTCATACGGCTTCCCTTCCAGATCCTTTGATGTCCTTGTGGCCCTTCTTCATATGCTCTCTAATCACTTAATATCTTTTTTATACTGTGGCACCAAAACTGTCCCCAGCACTCGAGGTGAGGCTGCCCCAGTGCAGAGCAGGACAATCCCCTCCCTTGCCCGGCTGGGGATGCTGTTCCTGATGTGCCCCAGGACAGGACTGGCCCTCCTGGCTGCCAGGGCACTGCTGGCTCATGTTCAACTTGCCATCAACCAGGACTCCCAGCTCCCTTTCCATGGCACTGCTTTCCAGCATCTCATTCCTCAGTCTGTACACACAACTAGAATTGCCCTGTCTGAGGTGCAGATTCCAGCACTTACCCTTTTTAAACTTCATATAGTTCATGGTTGCCCATCTCTAATTTGTCAAGGTCTCTCTGCAGGGCCCCTCTGCATTTCAGGGAGTTGCCAGCTCCTCCCAGTTTAGTGTCAATGACAGACTTAGCATTCCTTTGAGCCCTGCATCCCAGTTGCTAACAAAGATATTGAAGAGAATTGAGAGAGGATGGAGCCCTGCAGAACCCCACTAGTGATGTTACCCCAGTCACTCTTAACTCTTTGTTGCTTGATGTGTGAGAAAGAGTTTGCCCAACATATCGGGCCCTTGGTTCCCTGCAGAAGGGAGTGTCTGATTACAATCACCTTCTTTTCCTCAAAACAGAGGAGGTCTTGATGTGGGGGTACAGATGGTGTTGGTTTAGGAGGTCCCTCTATCCCAGAAGGGTTCACTCCATCAGTTGTCTGGCCTTCTACTTCCAAGGTCTCATATCTGTTGTAGAAGGTGCCAGTCCTACTTGTTATGTTTTCAGAAGGAGGAGGAAGCTTCCTTCTGGTCCACCACTTCCAAATATCTCTGTCCACTATATTTAAAAATGTTCTCTTACCAGAAGGACCAAGGAAATCACTACCTTTGCTCCTGATCTTTCAACCAATCAAGGCCAAATGGTATTTAATAAATGGTCTGGTAGCTCGACATCTTTTTTAAAGGGGAAAATAGAAGACAGAAGTGATTTTGTTTTTACTGAGATCATAATATTTGAAGCAATGATTTCTTTAAATTAAGTTAACTTATTAATTAAAGGAATTAAACTTTTATTTCTCCTTCCCTCCTCTACCTGAAAACCTTTGCAAGATCTCTTTTCATTTCCTTCTTTGCTTAGACTAAAAATAGCTGTCTATGTGGTTGTGAAAAAACAAAATTCTAAAAGTCCAGATAGGTGGTCAAAGTTTTGGAGGAGCAGGAAAAATAACTTTTAAGAAAGTACATAGAATGTTCCAGGAGTGTGCTGCTATATCAACTGTTTGGAAGTAGGATAGAGGCCTAGCCTAAACCCAGGAAAATGCATTTGCAAAGGTTCAAGTGAATTTAAAGATAAAGGAACTAGTGTCTGCATGAGATTAGAATACATTAAGCTACAGAATTTGAAGGAAATTTATATGCTACAGAATTATCCCCCAGATATTTCTCCCTAGTGGTGTGTATCCTTCCCAAGAGATTCACTCCTGTGCCAATGTAGTTCACAGCCTGAAATTCACAGCCGATTCAGCAGATGAAACTACCATGAAATACAGAATCAGGACATAACCAAATCCACCTCAACTTCTGGTTTTATCCTCTCCCACATGATGTTTTTCTGCTGGTTGTCTTCCCTAGAAAAAAGCTTGTCTGAAATGCCACCACATCTCCTGAGAGTCTTTAGTACACCCCAGTCAAGATAATCGAGTACCACTGACATAGAACTGCCCCATCATCATCAAAACTTCACAAGAGAGTGTGTGATATTTTATTATCAGAAGATAAAGTGAAAGGAGGCAAATAACTCTATTTACAATCATACAAATCAATCACCAGGGTCTCAGATTCTTTTCCACAGTGTACTACAAATGTTTAATCATTACTATGCGTTTGCTAGCCAACTCATCTCATGAAAACATCATTTTTATGTACATTCAATTTATTCCACATCACAATAGTCATACACTGGAAAAAGCCATGTCATTGCTTCTCTCGGCAGTTCTGAGGACAAAATTATTTGCTTAAGCCACTTGAATTATATTATTTTATTAAAGAAAGGCCTGCAGCTTTATGTCTGTTTTTCATAATGAAAACATGTGCACTGTATTTTGATATTATTTTGTTTCTCTTTTTTGTAAAATTGCTGATTGTGGCTGACAAAATTCCTGAATTATAATTTAAAAGTAAGCAGAAAAATAAACACTACCTTGAAAACATAAAAATGAATAGGTTTATCTACTGTGCATCACAAAAATAAGTATTTTTGAGAAAAAATGGGAATATCGTTAATTAAAATATTAATACAAAGGCGCACAAACCCCAGGGGGACAGAGAAGCAACTTTTATGTGTTATTCTGGGACTTTAAAGGTACCTGATTATTTAAGAGAGCTGTTTCAGGTAAATGTTTCTGGTGAAAAATGTCTTTATTTTATGTTTTACCAAGTCCTACTAGAGCTAAAAAGGACACTGTGTCCAAAGGTTTCATTATTTTGAAGAGACGATATGTTATGGAAAAAAACTCATAACCCAGATACAAAGCCGAGTGACTACCTTGTGTTACTTGCATCTTTTCAAAGCTAATTTACACTAAAATAAAGTCTCGAGATTACTCCCATTTTGCAGCACCTCGCTGATAAACACTCTCAGAAACATGTTTCCGATGTTACTGAGACAGCGATGTCAAAAGCAAAGTTTTAATTCAAAAGGAGAAATAAAAATCTTACAGCCCATGAAGTCAAACAATCCCCAAACTGGGGGATTACTGACTTGCCTGAAAGTCATTTCAAGTCTCAGTTGAAAGAAATATCGCAGGACAAAAATATTCTCTGTGCTCAGCAAGAATGCTGAGAACCGGGGTGCTGCGGTTCAGGTTGTTTAAAGAAAAAAAATCACTTTTTTGACAGGGAAGAAACACAAAGCGGACAGCAGGGAGCGGGGCAGGGGGCGGGGCGGGCTCGGGAGCGAACCAATCAGAGCCCTCGAGCTGCTATAAAAGGAGGCGCCGCCGGTACAGCCACATTCGCGCCCGCCGCAATGTCCGAGACCGCGCCCTCTCCCGCCGCTGAGGCAGCGCCCGCTGCCCCGGCCCCCGCCGCCAAGGCCGCCGCCAAGAAGCCGAAGAAGGCGGCGAGCGGCTCCAAAGCCCGCAAGCCCGCGGGGCCCAGCGTCACCGAGCTCATCACCAAGGCCGTGTCCGCCTCCAAGGAGCGCAAGGGGCTCTCCCTCGCCGCGCTCAAGAAGGCGCTGGCCGCCGGCGGCTACGATGTGGAGAAGAACAACAGCCGCATCAAGCTGGGGCTCAAGAGCCTCGTCAGCAAGGGCATCTTGGTGCAGACCAAGGGCACCGGCGCCTCCGGCTCTTTCCGTCTCAACAAGAAGCCGGGAGAAGTCAAGGAAAAAGCTCCCAGAAAAAGAACTTCCGTGGCTAAGCCCAAGAAGCCGGCGGTTAAGAAGCCCGCTAGCTCCGCTAAGAAGCCCAAGAAGGTGGTGACAACGAAGAGCCCCAAGAAAGCGAAGAAGCCGGCGGCCAAGAAAGTAGCCAAGAGCCCGAAGAAAGCAACAAAGGCTGCCAAGCCGAAGAAGGTGGCAGTAGCGAAGAGCCCAGCTAAGGCAAAGGTAATGAAGCCCAAAGCGGCCAAGCCAAAAGCCGCAAAGGCAAAAGTGGCCAAGGCAAAGAAGGCAGCGTCCAGTAAGAAGTAAGCTCCCTCACGGAGGAGGACCCTTGCTCCGCATAAAAACCCAACGGCTCTTTTAAGAGCCACAAAAGTTGTCTCAGAAGTGCTGAAATTATTTTTTTAATTAATTTTTTATGTAGAAGTTTTAGTCAGTTGTAAAATTGGCTGCTCTAGGAAAGTCTTTGGAGTTTAAGAAACAATGTCTGCTGAAAGCGGTGCTACTATAACGTGTAAGAGAAAACATGGAAAAGGAAGGGGCACTAATAAAAATCGTGGTACTTACAAGCTTCGTAATACTTATAGCAATTTAGCTCTTTATTGATAAAGTGGGTGGCTCTGAAAAGAGCCTTTGGGTTTATCGTGATGACTGGCAGTCGTTGTTCTTCGGCGCTCACTTGGTCTTAGCCTTGTGGCTGTCGGTCTTCTTGGGCAGCAGCACGGCCTGGATGTTGGGCAGCACGCCGCCCTGCGCGATCGTCACCTTG